ATGTATGTACGTACGTATGTATGTATGTATGTATGTATGTATGTATGTTATATATGTTTTATGGTTCCGATGTACCTGCAAAGGTATAGAAGTACGCATACAAGTGCACTATTGTAGTGCAGGTTGGTGCAATCGCGCGTGTTATATACAGTTCAACAGACTAACTACGATACCAAATACCATCTCATGTTGGGAAAACATCTATGTTCTCATTTTCTCTGCTTGGCTCACCTTAGACTGGATGGAGAACACACTTCTACTAACACTGTCTCTCCGTCTGAGTATGTTCGTTACCACAGTCGGGTCCTTCGCTGCAGCTCCTCGGTCCAATTTGTTCTTGGCCGTTTTCACCGTCGCCTTGAACAGCCCTGTTATATCGGTCATGATGCATAGCTACATGTCACAATTGAGGATGAAGGAGGCATAGGTACAGATACCTTTCATTAACGAGAGGGAAGGCCGGCTATAACCAACCGTCCCCAATTGGCAATCTCCGGGGGTGCTATTACATAGGTATCTAAAATAACTATTCGTGTTCCATCTGTTTATATTTTGAATATTTTTTATAATACTGATGGGAGGCAAATGAATATGCTGTATTTTTGGCGGCTATGATTTAGTGTTTGTTTTCAATTTTACTTTTTGAGAGTCTATGGCTTTTTTTGGTTTTTAAAAAAACAATATGGTAAAATCCCCCTTATACGTAAAAACTAAAAAGTGCCGAATTTTGCATCAGAATTTCGGATGCAGAACCCATCCAATAAGTCTGGTTAAAAAAACGACATATAAGGAATACATGGCCCCTCTCTCTGTACATAAATATGTAGATTGAACAAAATTCCAATACATGTGTTTTTCGTGATACAGTAAATACATATGTGCATATGTATAAAATCCTGTACATATGCATAAAAGCATTTCTCGATTTTCAAAACGTTTTTTTATAAGTAATCGTACATACATATATGCTCAATTTTCAAACAGAATATGTAAATATGCGTTGGGGGAAAAACATGGCCCTCTGGATTGAGTCTCCCGGAAAATGACTTTCTTCCCGCGAGACAAGATATTTATTTTTAAATACAACTTTTCCGTAATAAAAACATGTTAAAAACATACCTATTTTTTTTAGAAAAATTCTATTTTCGAGAACAGCTGTTTATTTATTTTTTAAAAGCAATATCATTTTTACGTTGAACAAGTACATACAGTAATGATACAGCATGAACCTTGATGTGGATGCAAAATGAATAGACGTTTAAAATCAGGAAACAGTATAAATTCGTTCACCTAAATATAATTTTTTTTCAATGAGCATTTCTCGATATTTTCGGACGTCCTGATCCTAAATTTTGATTTTGGCGGTTCGAATTCGGAATATTATTATTAGTAACGGATCCTGATTGGTTAAGGGGTACCTCGAAATCTATAAGTGTATTCTACAACGTTACTAAAATATTAGAAATAAAGTGAGTCCAGTAGAGACGCTTTGAGT